AAGAGATCTTCTCCTAGAGACGACAGAGAAAGAGCCTTTTCCCCAAGAATCAGTGTTCTGAATTTATACGCCTAGCCTCCTAAACTGCAAAAGAATATTTCTGTACTTTAAAACCACCCACTTAGGAAATTTCTGTTAAAGCAGCACTAGATAACTAAGACCACAGCATAACATAAATTGTTGTTTACAATTTTCCGATTGTTTTCCATCATCAGTGTACAGTCAATTAGTTACTCGACAAGGAAAAAAATGTACTCAATGGTACAGTAACTTTTTGCCATGAAAGACTGAGATTTTCTTATGTGTCAAGCATTTTTCCTTAAGACCAGAAAGCCTCAAATAAGGGTATTATTTTTATAATGGTTTCAATTTGCTGGTCCACTGAAGTCAGAAAACAGCATCCAAATTTTATTCAGCTGGGTATGACTGGTGTGGCAGCATAAGAAGGTTTTTAGGAGGTAAAACAGTTTTAAGAGATAAAGGTCACTGCTCTATTTTGAAGTCACTGAAAAGAGTAAAACTCATCTCCTGGAGGGATTAGTTTTTTTTTTTTTTTTTTTTTTTGGCCTTCACTCGCTACTTGTGGTTTTCTGTTCTTTTTTTTTTTCCAATGCCCTTTTCGTACTTGTATTAGGATTTTAAATCACTGGAAGGAAATATCTATTTCTGTTTTCTTTCCATGCCTTAAAAAAAAGCAATGGGAGCCATGGTAGTGTATTATTAGCTCAAATAAGAAATGAGTAGAAGTGATTGTTGCTGATTGCCTTTGAGTTGATTCAAATTCACGGTGACTCTGTGTATGCAGAGTAGAACTGCTCCATAGAGTTTTCAAGGCTGTGACCTTTAGGAAGCAGATCACCAGGACTATCTTCCACAGCTCTTCTGGGCAGATTTGAACTCTCACCCTTTCAGCTAGTCATTGAGCATTTAACTGTTTGTGCCACTCAGGAACCCTTGTAGAAGAAATGTTGTTGTTGATAAGTGCTGTGAAGTCGGTTCTGACTCTTGACAACCCTGTATAGAGTTTCTGAGGAGCAACTGAGTGGGTTTGAACCACCGACCTTACAGTTAGCAGTCCAGTGCTTCTTCTACAATACAACTGAGGACATATACCTGTTAAACTGAATTTTACAGTGCAATTAGCAAAAAATTACTACCATGGTCTAAGTTATTATTGAATGTATTTTAAGTGTTTGTACTATATTGTACAAGTCACAGTTAAAGATTGAGCCTCATCTGTGTCCATGTGGAAAAGACTGTTATCTATTAAGTCTTTAAAATTGTCCAGCCTTGATACAAGTGTAACTACTGCCATAAAGCACATCTTCAAATGTAAAAGATCAGCATAAATTGGAGAAGCAAGAAAAAGAAGGCACACTACTATAACCTTAATATGTTCTCAAAAGTTTTAAACCAAAGAAAGAAACATAAGACATTCACAAATGGGCAAAATTTCCACCAATTCCATATGTAAATATGTCCACATATCTCTTAACTTTGTGGAGATTTTCTGTCTTGCATCAGAAACCCTTAGCCTATTTAGTTTAAATGCATAGTTTACTTCCCAAATTGTATTCTTTGTTGACATTATTTAATCCACATGTAATTTTCCTGGATGGCTACACTGAGGAATTATTGAGTTATTCACAAATCAAGTGTCAGTGCCCAGACATTTTATCAAAAACAAGAGATTTTAGTAACAAAATATTTTAATTAAAATACAAGTAGTATATTTTATTGGTGTAAACAACATTTTTATTCAAAACAAGATATTTTAGCACCACAAAAATCAAGTCTTTGAAAAAAACGGAATAAACAGTAACAACGAACCTGTTAGGAAGTACCCGTGAAATGTTTTTGAGAACTCTTGAGAGACAAAGAAAGTAGCTGTTATCTCCCACTTGGCAAAGGATTCATCTTTAAGTTCTAGTTTAAAAGTGAATGATTAGTAGCTCAGGCAATTCTTTAAGGTGTTTGGCTATTTATAGATAGCACCAAAACCCAAAACACCAAACCTGTTGGTATTGAGTCAATTCCGACTCATAGCAACCTATGTGTTGCAGTGTAGAACGATTCCAGAGGGTTTTCTTGACTGTAATCTTTATGGATGTAGATCACCCGGCCTTTCTTTTGAAGCACTGCTGAAACCACTAACCTTTTGGTTAGTCTTGTTGTAATTGGTAAATGCCATAGAGTCAGTTCCAACTCACTGCCATCCTGTATAGTGTTTCTGAGGAGCAGCTTATGAGTTTGAACTGTTGACCTTGTGATTCAAATGAACTTGTGGTTCAGTGCTTATCCTATAGAGCCATACCAGGTTCATTTTGGTTAGTAGTCAAGTGCAAACCATTTGTGCCACCCTGGCACAACATACACAAGGAAACAAGCAAGTTTCTACATACCGATGTGTAGTTTCCCATAAGCTCGTTCATTTACAAAAATAAATAAATAAATCCTCCAGTGGAAGCCCAAATTCCACAAAATCCCAGATCTAGGGAGTCCACTGATGACTCTCTGGTAGCTGTTGCTGTGCAGCTTTGACAAAGCTGTGACCCATTGACAAAGAGGTGCTGAGGATGTAGCTATAAATGTAAAATTTGAAATATTTAATTCTTTACAATAATATGTTGTTGTTGTTATGTGCCATGGAGTTGGTTCCGACTCATAGCGACCCTGTACAGGGTTCTGAGGCTGTAAATCTTTACAGGAGCAGAAAGCCTCATCTTTCTCCCATGGAACAGCTGGAGGGGGCTTCAAAACAGTTCATGAAAAAATGGAATTAAAAGATTGGAATTTTTCCATGAACTTTTGAAGCTCCCTTGTACTAGTAGAACTTGACAGCATATAACAACAACAGGGCTTGCATGCTTTAAAGTATTAGAAAGAAGATGTTATTTTTTTTTTTTCTTGCTTTAGAGTTCAATGTAAAAAGCATGTGTAATCTGGTAAGTTCCTCTTAATTCAGCTGTAAAAAAACCCCAGATCCTAATGACGCACTAGACATTGCTAGCTAAGTGTATGCTAAACTTTCCTTCTCAAGTTCAAGATTTTGTCATTTTTCCAAAGTTCTGATTTTTGTAACAGTATTTCATAGAATAATGCAGTCATAATTTGAATTCGTGATAAAATGTATGGCTATAACCAAGATTTAAGACTTCCTGGAGTTTAACAGCTTCCTAGGATTTTTGTTGAGAACTTCTCAAACTTCCACTTCTATCTTAACATTATTATAGACATTTGTGCTTAAGATGCTGTTGTTATTAAGTGTCATTGAGTTAGTTCCAATTGGTAGGAACCTGGTATAAGGTTTCCAAGGATCAGCTAGTGGGTTTGAACCTCTGGAGCAACTGGTGGGTTTGAATTGCCGACCTAGTAGTTGAAATCAACCTTGTGGTCAAATGCTTATCCTACAACACCACACCTGTACTTAAGATACACAAATAAAATTAATTGAATGTTGGCTCAGATGTTTCTGTAATTTCAGGGTCTGCATTTGTGGAAGTTGTTGTTATTGTTGTGTGCTGTCGAGGTGATTCCAACTCATAGCAACCCTGTATAATTTCCGAGAAATGATTGGTGAGTTTGAACCACCGACCTTGCAGTTCAAACCAACCTTGAGGTTGAGTCGAGTGCTTATCCCTACAGCACCAGATCAGGACAGGTGTCAATAAAAAAGTAGTACTGGTGATTCTAGTAAGCTAGACTTAGGCTGGAAAATGGTGCAAATGGGTGGGTGCCTTTGGGCATAGGGCTTTTACACAAGCCTATCTGGTGTGGCACTGTAGGATAAGCACTGGACTGCTAACTAATAGGTCAGTGATTCAAACCACCGGCCACTTCTTAGAAACTCTGTACAGGGTTCTATGAATCAGAACCGACTCAGCGGCACTTAAGAACATCAACAACTCCAAATAGGAGTCCTGGTGTGGTGTTGAAGGATAAGTTCTGGACTGCTAACTATACAGTCGGCAGTTCAAACCCATTGGTCGTTCCTTAGAAATCCTATATAGGGTCGCTCTAAGTTGGAACTGAGTCACTGGTACTTAACAGAAACAACAACAACTAGAAATAAATTTTGCTACTTGAATAAGTATAGCGTCTTCAACTGCTCTGGTACCTTAGTGAATTAAGAGTTGGGCTGCTAACTTCAAGGTTAGCAGTTCGAATCTACCAGTTGCTCAGTGGGAGAAAGATGAAGGTTTCTGCTTTTGTAAAGACTTACAGTCTCGGGAACCCTATACACGGTCTCTTTTAGTCTGAACCGACTCCATTGCACATGGCCACCACTACCACCCTCATCTGCAGTGTAGATGTAGGCAGGTGATTCAGCAAAATCAAGTGGCAAGCTTGAAGTCAGTGTAATTTGCACATTCTCCAATTGGAATTGGAATTATAAAAGAACTGCTGGAGATAAATGTCTGTGTTCTCTTAACCTGGGATATACGAAGCAATGGGAACAGATTTCTGGAATAGGAAGGAAATAGCATTTGATGCTTATTCCTAGAAATAGTGCAAATGTGGACTGAGCATAATATCTGCAGATTCATTGATTTTTCGCAGATTCTCTGGGTTAGTACATACATACAACATATGTATTTTACATACATTTAGCGTTTTAGGGGGGTTGTTCATGAAACTAAATCAAACCACTTTTCTCTTCCACTGTGGATTAAATGCAAGTCAACTGGCAAACAGCAAAATGTGACAGACACATTTTTACAAATGCAACCAGATGCAGCTCAGATCCCAGAGAGGAATCTGTGAATAATGTAGTTTCTCTCCGAAAGAAACTGATTAAGAGAAACATGCATTTTACCCTCTTGTTGCCACTTTAGTTCTTCTCTTAGTTCTGAAGCAATTTTGAAAAATGGTGGGAAAACAGAGGAGAATATTACCAGAACCTTCTTATGTCCTGGGAAGATGTGCATTAATATCTTTAGGATACACATGTATTCAGTAGTCAACGGCATAGTAATCTACCTCTCTCTCTCTACCAACAGTTTGTGGCTCATCCCAACTGCCAGCAGCAGCTGTTGACGATCTGGTATGAGAACCTGTCGGGCCTGCGGGAACAGACCATAGCTATCAAGTGTCTGGTTGTGCTGGTTGTGGCCTTGGGCCTTCCTTTCCTGGCCATTGGCTACTGGATCGCACCTTGCAGCAGGGTACAAGACTTTTCTACTCCCATTTCCAGTAGGGCTGGTTTACCATGAGCTTTTTTTTTTCCCCCCCTTATAATTGTCACAATAAAATTGACACAAATTAATTACAAAAAGTTAACATTGATCAAAACGTATGCACACAACACTTACAGTCCTCACATGGAGCCATTTAAAGTCTAGAGAAGTTAAACAAATGTAAAGATGCAATATAAAATTATAGCTGCAAAAATCTAACTGCCATAATACTAGCCCCTCCTGTTGTAGCTGTTGAGATAAGTTCAAATGCTGCAAGTTTTTGCTTAAAAAGCTTGTGTAATGTTATCAGCTCTTTGTGAACAGTCTGTCTTCCCAGTAAATTGCATATCACAGTAAAAAGTGATGTCTTGTGGTTCTCATGTAGTTTCATCCTGTTTGTTGTTATTGCTGAGTGTCGTCAATTCAGTTCCAATTAACAGTGACCTTGTATAGGGTTTCCAAGGATCAGCTGGGGAATTTGAACCACTGACCTTGTGGTTAGTAGTCCAGTGCTTTCTGCAATAACTGTTAAAAGGTTTCAAAATTAGATACAAGTTCAACAAACTAGCGCAAGAGACATTAAGAAAAGGACTCCAAAACCTATCATGATCAAATTGCTTATAACCTGGGATTAACATTTTTTCAGAATTGCCAGCTTTTCTGGTCAGCCACAATGATCTAGTTTTATTTTTCACCACTTTCCCAGAACTTCTAACATTATTTATAAATATAAAGTAATGTATTTAGATTATTTTAAATGGCCAAAAGATGTACCTTAGGAAAAAGCAGAAAGGTGAATGTTTCTTTTTGATCAGCTGTCTCTGAAGATACGCACTGTGGAGGGTTGGGGTTAATTGGAGAAACAGCAAGGAGAATTCTGTGGTCTGCTGAGGACAGTCATGAGCACACATCTGTGTTTATTCATTCATCTCAGCATGAGAAACAACAGGCTAAGACCTTTAGTCCTCTTTTTTTTTAAAAAAAAAAAAACTTTTTATTGTGAATTGAGTGAAGGTTTACAGAGCAGGTCATCAGTTTCACATACAGCAAATCATATACTTTGCTTCATTATATGGTTGCAATCCCATCCATGCACCAACAATTCACAGCACTTACTTCTTCTGTTCACTGTAATCACTGCCTTCCTCCCTGGGTCTCCTGCCACCCCATCTTTCCTCTGCCAACCTTCCTCTGGTTATATATTGCCTGCTCCATCACCCATGTCAACACTTGTCTACCCTCTAGTGTTTACCATAAGCCTTTGAAATGAAAAAAAAGAAAAGCTTTCCACTTAAGGATCTTATCAGTCTTACCCTGAATGTTAATTGGCTCAAGAACACAGATTCTGCCTTTTAATTACTGGATCAATTCAAGTAAGGGATGATAAAGGATTTGGTATTAGCAAGCTAGATTTGCAGGCATATCTTGGGCATTTAACATCAATTCCCCAGGGTGGGAAGAGAGGATGAAAAATTGATTGAGTGAAGTAGTGCTAATTCTATTGACAGCTTAATGACTACAACCAGGACTAGCCTGGCTTGGCCTGACCTGTAGAATTCAGGGGAAATGGTGTGGTGGTGCTTATGTGCCCTGGAGTCACATAGAGTTTCCAAGGTTGTAAATCTTTGCGGGAGCAGAAAGCCTTATCTTTCTCCCATGGAACAGCTGATAGTTTCGAGCGGCTGACCCTGAGGTTAGCAGCCCAATTCTTAACCACTACACTACCAGAGCTCCTTTCAAAGGTAAACAGCTCCATTGAAATAGTGCCAAGAAATCGTTCATCTAGAACTGGAATAGCAACTCATTAGAACCTCTCAGAAGTAATTTAAGTCGGGGTACATTAAATAACTGTGGGTTAATGTGCCAGACTGCAAAACTGTTTGAACTACAAGGTCAGCAGTTCAAGCTCATCAGCTGCTTCTTGGAAACCCTATACAGGGTTGCTATGGGTTGGAACCAACTCGATAGCACTTAACAACAACATTAAGTCAATGGACTCCTGGTGTGGTGCTGTAGGATTAGCTCTGGACTTTGAATAATAAGGTCGGCAGTTCAAACCTAACAGCTGCTCCTGGTAAACTCTATACAGGGTCACTATGAGTCACAACCAACTCCATGGCACTTAACAACAAACCAACAATACTAAGTAAAGCTGAGAACAGTGATATTAATTCAAAGTCTTCAATAAATTGCATGTTACATTTCCCCAGCCCTCTGAAAGTTCCAAAAAATTTAGGCTTTGGGTTTAGGGGCTTTAAGTTTTTCAGATTGCTTATTTATTTTTGCTTGAATAATTGTTCTCCCACTTTTATTCCCCTCTTGATTTACTGATATAGAATCAATTTAATCATGCTTAAGAGAGCCCTCAAGCAAGATGTGGAAAGGAATATGAGTCATTCTAACAAAATCTCTACTAGTTTAAATAAAAGGCACTACCAAGGAGAAGGAGTTGTTCTGAAATCTGTTAATCCTATTTTTATATCCCCAAATCTGTTTTGTTGCTCTGGTTTTTAATCAGCTGCTACTCTTGTTTTTAATCAGAGGCATTTTGAGGCAGAATGAGATAGGCCTCTTACAAATGACCCTGGGTATCAATCATCTCTAGCTCAGCAGTTGCCCCCAGCAAGGTCCGGCTCCACAGACACCATGTATGTGTGAGAATGTTCATCCTTCTTACTCCATTTTTGAGGCTTCTATGGGTCGCCACCACTCCTCTGTCAGTTTGTCATACTGTGAAGGCCTGTAAGTTGCTGTGATTCTGAAAGCTATGCCACCAGTATTTCAAATACCAGCAGGGTCACCCATGGTGGACAGATTTCAGATGAGATTCCAGAGAAAGACAGACTAGGAAGAAGGAGTGATGAACTACTTCTGAATATTTAGCCAATGAAAAACAGAGAAACACTGTCAGATATAGTGCCAGAAAATGAGCCCCTCAGGTTGGAAGGTACTCAAAATGCGACTGGGGAAGAGCTGCCTCCTCAAAGTACAGTTGACTGTGATGACACAAATGGAATAAAGCTTGTGGGAGAAAAATCCGCAGGACCTTCATTTGCTGATGGGGCACAACTCAAAATGAAGAGAAACAGCTATAGACATCCATTGAAAATCGGAACACGGAATGTACGAAGTATGAATCTGGGAAAATTGGAAGTTGTCAAAAATTAAGTGGAAGGCATAAACATAGATATCTTAAATATTAGTGAGCTGAAATGGATTCGTATTGGCCATTTTGAATCTGACAACCACATGGTTTACTATGCCGGGAATGACAAATTGAAGAGGAATGGTGTTGCATTTATTGTCAAAAAGAACATATCCAGATCAGTCATGAGATACAACACTGTCTATGATAGGATAATAGCCATGCGCCTACAAGGAAGCCCAGTTAATACCACTGTCATTCAAATTTATGCACCAACCACTAAAGCCAGTGAGGATGAAATAGAAGAATTCTAAACTACTTCAATCTGAAATTGATCAAACATGCAATCAAGATGTATTGATCATTATTGGTGATTGGAATGCAAAGGTTGGGAGCAAAGAGGAAGGATCAGTAGTTG